TCAGAAGCCAGACCAGTAAGAGCCAAGGAATCTCTCTGTGACCTGCAAACACGACTCTAGGTGCCAAACAAGAAGTTTCTCCAGCAGAAGGAAAGGTCCAAGGAATGACAAGCATGAATAATAGCAAGTCCTAAAATGTAGACAATGTAGACATTATTAGATAGCCAAGGAGGTGTACTTAGCCTCTCTCATGAGCCTGGAACATACCACATGACATTAAGTGAAAGGAAATACAGGGTTGCTTTGTTGCACACGCCTAGAGAGTGGGGAATTATGCAGATATAACAAAAGGTGCAAGGAGGCTGTGTTCCTCCATGCTGTACTGCACTTGTCAAAGGTACTGCTAAAAATAACAGACAAGATTAAACTGCCTACTAATGTCTGAAAAATGTTAACCCTTGCCAGTAAAGAAAAATATAAATCAGACCAGGCAAAGTGGCTCACACCTATAATCCTAGCACTTTAGGAGGCTGAGGTGGGTGAATCACTTGAGGTAAGTAGTTCAAAACCAGCCTGGCCAACATGGTGAAACGTTGTCTCTACTAAAAATACAAAAATTAGCCAGGTGTGGTGGTGAGTGCCTGTAGTCCCAGCTACTCAGGAGGCTGAGGCAAGGGAATCACTCAAACCCGGGAGGCGGAGGTTGCAGTAAGCTGAGATCATGCCACTGCACTTCAGCCTGGGCGACAGAGCAAGATTCCATCCACTCCCACAAAAAGAAAGCAAATCAAAATGTTTTCCCTTCTCTTGTGTTTACAAAGATTAAAGAGAGTACTAAAGCCTAATGCTTGTGAAGTCTGACAGGTGGGAAACTGTTGCGTGCTGGACAGCAGACAAACTGGGTTGTTCATACTAGAAGGCATCTGGCGAGACTTCCCAAAACTTTATTAAAAAAAATTTTCTATTATTGATTAATTGATTGATTGAGATGGAGTTTTGCTCCCTAGGCTAGAATGCAATGGTGCAATCTTGGCTTACTGCAACCTCTGTTTCTAGATTCAAGTGATTCTCCTGCCTCAGCCTCCCAAATAGCTGGGATTACAGGCATGCGCCACCATGCCTGGCTAATTTTGTATTTTTAGTAGAGATGCGGTTTCTCCATGTTGGTCAGGCTGGTCTTGAACTCCTGACCTCAGGTGAGCTGCCTGCCTCAGCCTCCCAAAGTGCTGGGATTACTGGTGTGAGCCACCATGCTTGGCCTAATTTTGTCTTTTTAGTAGAGATGGGGTTTTACCATGTTGGCCAGGCTGGTCTCGAACTCCTCACCTCAGGTGATCTACCCACCTTAGCCTCCCAAAGTGCTGGGATTATAGGCATGAGCCACCGCCCCCCACCCCAAAACTTGAAAAGCATATATTGTTTGACACAGAAACATGCTCAAGGAAAATAACTGGACAAGCATGCAAATATGGACACATGAGGTAAAGTACACATACACATAAATATACAAGAATGCCCTCCACGACATGAGTGTAATTGTGGAAAACGGGAACAACCAACGTGTTTATAAAAGTAGATGGTGCTTACATTATGGCGCATCTTTACACGGTCCTCAGTGGAGTACCTTAACCACATAAATGTTGGAAGATTCATATTTCCTTTTTTTTTTTTTTTCCAGACAGTCTTGCTCTGTCACACAGGCTGGAACGCAGTGGTGCAATCTTGGCTTACTGCAACCTCTGCCTCCCAGGCTCAAACAATCCTCTCGCCTCAGCCCTCCGGGCTCAAACAATCCTCTCACCTCAGCCCCCTGGGTTCAAACAATCCTCTCACCTCAGCCTCCCGGGCTCAAACAATCCTCTCACCTCAGCCCTCCAGGTTCAAACAATCCTCTTGCCTCAGCCCCCCGGGTTCAAACAATCCTCTTGCCTCAGCCCCCCGGGTTCAAACAATCCTCTCGCCTCTGCCTCCCGGGCTCAAGCAATCCTCTCGCCTCAGCCTCCCAAGTAGTTGAGACTACAGACACATATATGCCACCAAGCCCAGCTAACCATATACACTGTATGATTTCATTTACATGACGCTTAAAAACAAAAGTGGACTTCGTAGCTATTCTTAAGTGCAGGGACTGCAAGGAGGGGCCTTTTGGTGCTCACTACATTTTCTTTCTTGGTCTGGCACTGGGAACTGTGGACACATGTATATACCAACTCATCAAGCTGCAGCTGCTGATCTGCCCATGGCATTGTCAGTAGGCTTGGACCTCAGCTGAAGCAAAAGCTTATTCCTCAGTGGGCTGTAGGACCTCCTGTCCATGCAAAGGAGGCCACTACTGGCTGAACCAGAACGGGCAACTAACTGCTCCTCTTCCTGAAAGCTTCAAACGGGCTACTCTCACATTTTACACAAACATCCAAACTAGCTGGTGACTCCCACCCTCGCCACAAGACACTCATTCAAGCCCAGGAGATGCAGGAAGTTGGGTTCTGGATCTGACTTACTGGCTGACACTGAGAAATTATTTCCTCATACTGGGGAATGGCTTTCTTATCTGAAAATAAGGGCAGGATTAACTGATTTACTTGTGATTCTCTGGTGAATTTAATAAAATAACTAATAGTTTTTATTTAATTTAAGCACTTGCCCTGAAAGTGCTTTTTTTTTCTTTGCCCCTCAAGGTATCTGTATGTACAAATAAAATAAAGCTTAACTCACACATCTTGGAGGCAGGCGACGTAAGTTCAGGTGTGGAAACATTAAACTCAGCTCACAACTCTTGGGTGGAAACAGACAGTAAACATTTGCTGGGCGCTTACGATCCCTCAGGCCCTATGTTCATTACTCAACACTGCCATGGTTAAGACTCATGCTATCCAAATACTAAGCAGAAAGTTCACAAACTTTAGAGCATTGTCAAGATAGGGAAAACTGTAAGTACCTGCTCTATGCATGCCCCGTGGGAAACATGTTCAAAACATCAAAACATGTTCTTTATTCCCACTCTGTGTGTGTCTGTGTGTGTGTGTGTGTGTGTGTGTGTGTGTGTGTAAGAGACAGGATCTCACTATGTTGCCCAGGCTGGACTTGAACTCTTGGACTCAAGTGATCCTCCCACCTCAGCCTCATGAACTGTAGGCATGCACCACCATGCTCAGATCTCCTAGTGCTTAAACTGGTCCTAAAGCGCCAATATATCAGGCCCAGTACACACATTTTTATTTATTTATTTATCTATTTATTTATTTATTTTGTAGAGACAGCATCTTGCTATGTTGCCCATGCTGGTCTTGAACTCCTCAAGTGATACTTCTGCCTTGGTTTCTCAAAGTATTAGGATTATAGGCTTGAGCACTGTGTCAGGCCCCAGTAGACATTTAAATGCCACAGCCCTCCTGGTTCTGAGTATTGTCTCTTCATTTCCCTCCTCAATTCTGGTAGCAGCAATAATGATGATTGTAATAATACTCACAAATACTAATACAGAGTGGCTACCAGGCCAGGCAACCTGAGAAACATTTTATATTCAAGTTCATTTAAATGTAGAAAAAATCCTATATTCCTCATTTTATAGGTAAGGAAATTGAGGCACAGAAGAATTGAGTAACTTGCTCAAGAGTTCCTCTGCTAGCATGGGTCAGAACCAGGACTCAAACCAACCCGTGTGACTCCACACCTGGTTGTTAACAACCAAGCTCTCCCAAGGCAGGCTCTCCAGCCAACCGCAGGACCATAACCCAGGCAATCTAGACACCCGGCCTGGGAAAGCCTTGTTTCTCCCTCTAAAGATACCATTGCAAATATCCAATAAAAGTCATATGTAATTTTGCTTCTTTAACAGCGCTGCTGAGAAACTTTTTGCTAGCCCCTCTCCCACTGTCTACCCTAAGTATCAAGCCCACCCAAAGTCTTCCAGGTATTTGGGGCCTTTCACTATGCAAGCCCCATTGCCTTTCCAATTTCATTTTCAATCTCCTTCCTATCTGCACTCCAGGCCCCAGAAACGCCACATCACCCTCTTCCTAGCACATGTGGATCACTCTGGCCCTTCTGCCTTTGCTGCTCTTCCTGCCTGTGATGCCTATTCCTGCCTCTGCCTATGAACTGCTCACCCTTTAGAACTCTGGCTCAGATGTCACCACTGCTGTAAAGTCTCCCTTGGCGGCTCTGAAAGGCAGTTACTTATGTCCTATTCTGTGGTCCCTAAGTATCTTGCATGTACCTTTATTAAAACATTTATTGCAATACATTCTGGTTTGTTGTTTATGAACCTGTCTACTTTGAAAAACTAAGTGCCTTGAGGGGAAGGCTGCTGTTCACTTCTTTTGTTTTTTTTTTTTTTTGAGACGGAGTTTCGCTCTTGTTACCCAGGCTGGAGTGCAATGGCGCGATCTCGGCTCACCGCAACCTCCGCCTCCCGGGTTCAGGCAATTCTCCTGCCTCAGCCTCCTGAGTAGCTGGGATTACAGGCACGCGCCACCATGCCCAGCTAATTTTTTGTAGTTTTAGTAGAGACGGGGTTTCACCATGTTGACCAGGATGGTCTCGATCTCCTGACCTTGTGATCCACCCGCCTCGGCCTCCCAAAGTGCTGGGATTACAGGCTTGAGCCACCGCGCCCGGCCTGTTCACTTCTTATCTATTTTGCCTAGACAGTTTCTTGCCCTCAGTAAGTACTTAATGAACTTTTGTTAAACATATAATGAATAATTAGATTCAAAAATAAATTCTTGATTGTTTTATCCTGTCTTTCCCAAATGTTTGTTCTAGAATATGAAAACACGATGGCAAGTTTAAAACAGATCTGGATGTGTGGCTTTAGGGACACATCTGTACAAATCTATAGCTCACAAATGGCAAAGAGATACAAACTCCATTATTTCCTCCTCTGAACTGTTAATATCTCTAAATCTAGAGGCAGGCAGCAGGCTTCTCTGAGAACACATGCGACGTCAGCTCAATCCAGTGACACTGCTAGGACACCCAGAGAACCAGAGCTGAGGGAGGGAAGAGGTAGAACAAGAGAGAGTCTCGGCATCAGGCCAAAACAAAGCCCTACTTACCTCCTTCTTGGGAATTCATGATGTTCAGGGCAAACAGCATTGCATTGGAGAATGTGGTCGCCTCTTCTTTACTTGCAAAGTTTAAGCCGTAGACTTGGCGGGCATCTCGCCACTGGTGGAAGGTTGGCGTGGCCTGATTGTACTTCAGCCCTTTCACGATTGAATAATTGATCACAACCTGGAGGAGAAAGGAGAGAGAAATACGTGTAAATAAATAAAATGTAAGTGAGCTGGAGGGCGCTGTGATGGGTCAAGTATACTATATCCTTGAGAGGACAGGGAGATGGGGATGGGGTTTGAAGAAGGGAAAATCAGTATCAAGCAGATTTTCAGACCATAATCTACAGAACAGTGAGGGTTTGCAAAACCTGTTCTTTCCTTTAACTAATAATGCTATGTAGTTCCAACCTCCAGATGAACAGCTGAGCTGGGAGTCAGGTCCCCTGGGTTCTGGCCTGGCCCTGCCTCTTAGCCACTCCACTTAAGGCAGTCATGGTACTTCGCTGGGGCTCAGTTTCTCCAATTATGAGATGGGGATAATAATTCTGGCTTTATAAATATAATGGGGTTACTGTGAAGATCACATTGTGATATGTATCTTACCTATATCTTATTTATAGCTTGCCTTTAGATATAAAGCTCCTAAGGACAAGTCTTCTATAATTCATATTTATGCCTCCTATAGCCCTCTGCACAGTGTCTAGTACTTCAAATGCATTAATAAGCCATTTTTTTGTCCAACGGATAACCTGGAAAGTTGACGTGTCACACATCTATACAGCATTATCCATATCTTTATTATTAATCAATAAAAAGCATCAACTGGCTGCCAGGAGCAATGCCAGGCCCAGCAGGGAAGGATACAGAGATGACAGAATCCAGACATTCAACTGCTTACAAGCTGCCAGGGATTCAACACCAGGTCTGCCTGACTTCTAAAATTCTGCTCTTTCAGACATTTAAAAGAGGATTATTTTGGCCTGGCATGGCAGCTCACACCTGTAATCCCAGCACCTTGCGGGGTCGAGGCGGGAGGATCACCTGAGGTTGAGAGTTTGAGACCAGCCTGATCAACATGTAGAAATCCCGTCTCTACTAAAACTACAAAATTAGCCGGGTGAGGTGGTGCATGCCTGTAATCCCAGCTACTTGGGAGACTGTGGCAGGAGAATTGCTTGAACCCAGGAGGTGGAGGTTGCGGTGAGCCAAGATCGTGCCATTGCACTCTAGCCTGGGCAACAAGAGCAAAGCTCTGTCTCAAAAAAAAAAAAAAAAACAACGAAAAAAAGGGATTATTTCAAAGTACTCTAAGACCATATTCATAAGTGGTGCCCTGGAGGAAAAGATGCTGGGGCTGGAGCCCTCATTCTGCTTCCCATCCCTTCTAGCTCGAAGCCACATGATCTAACATCACAACACTTATGAATTATCAGTTTTCTTGCCTGTCAAATGGAGAAGAATGTGATACAACTATGGCATGGCACCCTCATTGTGTGTTGTGAGGATTAAATTATATATGAGAAAGTAACTGACACAGCTCCTGGCACAAGGTAGGCTGTCAATGGCTGAATGGAGAAGTATGAAGACCACTACAAATGGAAGTATGCAAGCAGCGTCTGGATGGGGCCAGAGGGCCAGTTGTTAGAGATGCCATGGAAAGGATTTTGCTTTAGAAGTACAAGATGATTTCTCAGATCTCGTCTGGTTTTGAGGCTGCAGGACTGACTGTGATCTGAGGTTGGGACTAACTCTCTCTATGTTGATTTATCACTTTCCTCTACTGTTCCACACTGCTGTGCTTGCTGGATAAGGTAAAACCAGAGGACAACAAACACGGGTGCCATCCAGAAAAGCAGTTTTCCAAGTCTTAGGTGAAGGCGGGCTTGGGTCTTCCTAAGACAGGCAGAGGCAGGGAAAGGGGAGACATACACATATAGTACACTAAATTAGCTGAAGAAACATAATTGAGGCTGGGCACCATGGCTCATGCCTATAATCCCAGCACTTTGGGAGGCCGAGGCGGGAGGATCACCTGAGGTCAGAAGTTTAAGACTAGCCTGGCCAACACGGCGAGACCCTGTCTCTGCTAAAAACACAAAAATTAGCCGGGAATGGTGGTGGATGCCTGTAGTCCCAGCTACTCGGGAGGCTGAGGCATGAGAATTACTTGACCCCAGGAGGAGGAGGTTGCAGTGAGTCCAGATTACACCACTGCACTCCAGCCTGAGTAACAGAGCCAGACTCTGTCTCAAAAAAAAGAAACGTAATGGTTTCACAACCTAATTGTTACATATTGACAGGCACGTATTTTGGCCAAAATCTATACACAAGTTCCTGGGTGGTTCTCTATTTTTTTGCTCTTTGTGCTTGGGGTACATATTCATGTGCACATACAGCTAAACCAAAAGAACTGGCCTGGGGATGACTAGGTTTAGTTATACATCATCAGAAAAAGCACTAATAAGAACTGGCGAAATGGACCATTGTTAAAACAGCTCTTAAGATTAGAGGACACATTTATAGTGGAACAGTGACCAGAATGAGAGAAGAGAAAAAGCTGCTTCATTCTGCCCTGTTAAGTCCCTATCAGAAGTTGTGTTCAAGTTTTTTTGTTTTCATTTTTGGTGTTACATTTCTAGCAGACATTAATGAACTGAAGCAAGCCAGAGGAAAATGCTTTAAATTGATGAAGGTCTCAAAACCACCTTCTATCAGGAATGGTTAAGAGATACTGAAGCAAAATAAAAGATGCTTTAGTATCTCAGGACTACTGTCTCCAGATACTTGAGGGGATGTTCTGGGGAAATGAAATTTAGAACCCTTGGCCAGGCGCGGTGGCTCAGCCTGTAATCCCAGCACTTTGTGAGGCCGAGGCCGGCGGGTCACAAGGTCAGGAGATCGAGACCATCCTAGCCAACATGGTGAAATCCCGTCTCTACTAAAAATACAAAAATTAGCTGGGCATGGTGGTGTGTGCCTGTAATCCTAGCTACTGGGGAGGCTGAGACAGGAGAATCACTTGAACCAGGGAGTTGGAGGTTGCAGTGAGCTGAGAATGCACTACTGCACTCCAGCCTAGATGACAGAGTGAGACTCCATCTCAAAAAAAAAAAAAAAAAAAAAAAAAAAAGAAATTTAGAACCCTATGATTTGATTTTTAATTAAAAAAAATATTTAGTATGGTTTTTAAATATAGAGTCTTGCTCCAGGCTGGAGTGCATTGGTGTGATCTCGGCTCACTGCAGCCTCCGCCTCCTGGGTTCAACTGATATTCCTGTCTCAGCCTCCTGAGTAACTGAGACCACAGGTGCATGCCTCCATGCCCCAGCTAATTTTTTTTCTTTGTTTGTTTGTTTGCTTTTACTAGAGTCAGGATTTCACCACGTTGGCCAGGCTGGTCTCGAACTCCTGACTTCAAGTGATCCTCCTGTCTTGGCCTCCCAAAGTGCTGGGATTACAGGCATGAGTCACCAGGCCTGGCCTGGGACCCTATGATTCGAGATCTCTGGTTGGCTGCATTCTTGAGAGAGAAACTTAAGGTGAGCGAGAATTTTTTTTTCTAAACCTCAAAGTAGCTCTTGGGGGGAAATGAGAATTGAGGGGCAGCTGATACCTAATCCAGAATACAAAGAGTATGGCCAGCAGACAATCACTGAAGGGGCTCAACAGGACCTTAGGGACTATCTAACTCAATTTGCTCTTTTTATAGTCAGGAAATGAGATCCAGGGAGAATGAGTGACTTGTCCAAAGTTACACAGTAAGCTAACAGGAGAATTGGATTTAGAAGCTGAGGCCTTTGTGATTTTTTTTTTTTTTGCCAGTATGGTAGTCCCCCCTTATCCATGCAGGACTGGTTCCAAGACCCCCAGTGACTGCCTGAAATGTGGTTAGTAAAGAACCCTATATAGACTATGTTTTTTCTTATATATACATACATACATACATACCTATGATAAAGTTTAACTCATAAATTAGCCATAGTCAGAGATTAACAACAATAACTAATAATAAAATAGAACAATTATAATATTTGGAATGGCATGCAATTTAAAATTTATGACTTATTTATTTCTGGAATTTCTCATTTACTATTTTTGGCCTGCAGTGGATCTTGGGTATGTGAAACCTCAGAAAGTGAAGCCACAGCTAAGCGGGGTACTGCTGTATAATGAGCTGCAATCCTTCTTCCTATTCCCTCTCTGGTCCTAGCACTAACCTTCAAAGAGCCTCATAAATCACTTCCAACTGCAGGAAGTTTTAGCATACTGGACTGGGCGAGTGCAATGAAGCCCTTCTAGACAAATCCCTGTTCTATAAGTTCTCTGGGCTCTGCCACACATGGCTGGTCGCCGACTTAGGGCTCCTGGGCCTGCCAGTTCTGCTCTGTCCACAACAACGGTACAAAGGCTGCTCACCAAGTGCTGCCGTTTGGTGTCTACTCACAGCGCAACGGTCTATGACTGCTCTGAAGACAATCATACATGAGCAGAGGATTTTACGTCAGAGGGCTCTGCATTAAAACCCTGGCTTTATTACTTTTCAGTTGTATAACCTTAGACAAGTTGCTCATATCAGTTTCCTCACATGTAAGATGAAGAAAATATTATAAATAATACTGCACTGAATATTCTTGTGAAGAGGTATTTCTACAGAATATATCCCTGTAAGCTGAATGACTAGACATGACCATTTAAAAATTTGTATTTATCATTTGAAAACTGACTTCTAAAATAGGGGAGTCCAATGCAATGTGTTTGAATGTATGTGCAGTGACACAAGGCCAATGTCACTTGACCATCTGCTGAGAGGTGTCCAGTGTTTATTAACTGCCAGACAGGCCTGACCAGCCAACAGCTAAAACCTCAGTACCTAATGGTTCCACCTCTGTGTTTACTCTGCTTAGAGTGAGTCAGAGGATCCACCTGAACACGTGCATTTTTGCAAGTCCACTTTTGGTTGGGGCTGTTTCATTTAGTACCCCTCACCCAAAACTCCCCTGTAGAGATAATCATGTTTCTTATTTCTAGCATCATTGGCAAAATGCATCTGTTCTTCAGCTACATAGAAATGGATTCCTGTGGTACATGGTATGTACTCTTTTGTTTCTGGTTTCCTTCCCTCAACACGATGTTTATGAGATTTGCCATGTTATTGCATATATCCATATTTCATTCATT